ACAAGGCAACTGGGATTACCTTGATTTCTTTCATCAGTGCACCAACTCCAGCAATGCTTAAAAGTGAAGTAAAAGATACAAATACAAAGACTGCTGCAACACTTGTCTGCAATGTGCAAATTAGATGATTTATGCCCCATGATTTTGTATGCAATGGATTAATGAATTCTTAAAGATGAGAAGACAGCAATGAATCTGTTTTGATATATATGTGCAAAGATGTTTGATTGACACAGAGAGATGGTTTTAACAACTCACCACAACTGAAGACAAAGAATGGCCCAAGCCAGAAAATACTGTTCCAATACATAGAGTAAGAAGTATATAAAGAATAAGACGAAGCCAGTAGTATTTCCATTCCCTTGACATAATCAACAATGATCTCCAAGTCAGGACTGCAATTCGTGTAGCATTCCCAGCCTTTCCCTTGCCTTTAAGAAGTGGACCTTCCTGTAGAAGGCAACATAGTGAATAAAGATTGAAATAAAATTGTGGCTTCAATGGATCTGAGTCATCTGACATAATCATCTACCAAGAGAGTATACCTAGACGGCCTCACAAGCAAGAGATCATCCAGGATAAATGTAAAATAGTTCAGGATTCAACTGCAACCATTGCTGCAAATATTAGTAAGCAAAGATATCCCACCTTTTCTATGAGTCTCAATATCATAGTTTCAACTGCAGCAGCATCTGCTGATGATTTATAAGTGGCCTCAAGAGTGCGTATTGCAACAGCAGTGTCCATATTCATAGGAGAGAAATCCCCATGATCATCCTGTCATAATTTCTCAGTCCAGAAGATTGTAAACAAATGCAATGCACCATAAGGAGCAACTATCTAGTGAAATGATAGTAGTCTTAGTTAAAAGCCAGAGAATGGAGATCATGTTTTGAGAGCAGTTCCAGTCCTAGGAAGCCAGGACCTGCCTTAGTTTGAATATCTTTGAACTGAAATATACAGATTGATATTCAACATTTACCTGCCAATTTTTGCACATTGAAATAATCCTGTCAAAATCTGTATTTATGGCCCGTAGAAAGTGATCAGAAGGACTTTGCATGATTGGGCAAGGAAATCCAGCATTTGAGAAGTGCTTCATTAACAAAAGGGATGTCTGTTAGCCCTAGAAATGATAATCAGTAGAATGGAACTTGAAAGAAAAGAAATTTTGAACTATCTATGGAATTTTAATTTCATTAACCTGCAAGCAAGCCAATGTTTCCCCAAAGAACAAGGTGTTGCCATTTGAAAGCAGGCAGATACGATCAAAGAGGCCAAACACCTCTGTGCTGCTTTGATAAATAGTAAAAATAAGAGTGCAGCCTGTGCTTGCAAGTTTCTTCAGTGTAACCATCATCAAAAGTGCAGAGACACTGCAATAGAATTTTTTTTTTTTTTTTTTTTATGAGACAATTAAATTTTAGCTATAATGTGGGAGTGAAATGAAGCTTCTAAACAAAAATATGAACCATATGTGTATGCCATGTAACATGCCAAATGTTTATCTTGGTCCATGAAGGACAATTTAAATACTAAATCATCAATAAAATATTATTGTCCAGTGGTCTCTCTAAATTTTCTTTTATTTTCTACAAACTTACTAGTTCCTACAACTAATTGGCTTATCAAACATGAGATTTTTTTGGCAAAAATGACCAAAAGAAAATTACGAACCTACCTGTCAAGATGATAAAGAGGCTCGTCAATAAATAAAATATGTGGCCTTGTCACAAGTTCCCGAGCAATGCTCACACGCCTTCTCTCACCATTAGAGAGGCCCTTCATATAACATTGACCACCAATCAGCTTGTTTGCATAATCACCCAGGGACATGGCATGGAGGGCTTCCTCTACCACACTCTTCCTCTGACAGAAAAAGCCAGGAAGTTGAAGCAATGTTGAGTAGTATAGATACTCCCGGACAGTGAGAGAACCAATTAGAGTTGTTTCCCTTTCAATAAATCCCTGCATGTGGGAAAATTCTCCAAGTCATAAACCCCATCCTTCCAACACAGCAGAAAAATAAATTCTTCTAAGTTCACCTCTGCTCTGAAAATTCATCTTTCTGTCAAACTAAAAATGATTAATTTTAAAATGATAAGGCTTTAGCATTTCCAAGGCAAGGGACATATTAACTGTTTCTTTGAAGGTGGGTTGGACATCTATAATTGCTTGTACTCAAATGCACCAAAATAATGAAAACTTGGAAGAATACAGAAAGCACATCAATTTCCATCAAAACAGTAAAAACAAAGGAAAAATTTTGCTATGAATGAATCTTATCAACAAAGAAAGAATGAGAGCCC